GAGAAAAGTGAGAAGGGGAGGATTGGGGGAACTTGGGGAAACAGGAAGATTGGGATAAAGGAAGGTTGGATAGGGGAGCAGGGAAGCACATATCTTAGTTAAGGGAGCCACCTTAGTGTTGGCAAGAGACTTGAAGTTTGTTCTTATCACAGTTTTCATTTCATTCTTTCCCCTAAGTTTGGGAATGTTGTGCTGTCATTTTGATTGAATTTTAGGAAGTCTTTAATTTCTTCCTCCCTTTTTTTTTGATCTGTTAGTTATTCAGTTGAGTATTGTTCCATTTCCATGATTTTATGGGCTTTCTGCCATTAGTGTTGTGGAATTCTAACCTAAACCATGGTGATCCAATAAGATACAGGGGGTTATTCCTCTTTTATTTTATCTGTTGAGGTTTGCTTTGTTTCTGAGTATGTGGTCAATTTTAGAGAAGTGCTGTGGAGCAATGGTCTTGTGCTTTGTAAAGATGTGTAATAAAATGCTGGTTGTTCATTAGCCAGGTGGGAAATACAAGTGGGACAAACAGGCAGGTAATGGAGGCAGGGCAATGAGAACAGGAGAATTCTGGGAATCGAAAAGAGTCAGTCTGCAGTGTCACAGAGGAAGTCAGACATGAAGGAAGCAAAATGAGAAGCCTTACTAATAAAGGTACCAAGCCACGTAGCTAATACAGACAAGAATTATGGGTTACTATAAGATGTAAGAATAAGTTAATATGAAGCTTGAGTTAATAGGCCAACCAGTTTATAATTAATATAGACCTCTGTGAATTTTTTTTGTGGGGGGGGCTGAATGGCTGCAGGACTGGGCAGGACAGAAACCTCTGTCAACAAATGTGCAGACCTCTGTGTGTTTATTTGGAACTGAACAGCTGTGGGACCAGGTGAGACAGAAATCACTGTCAACAGAGAAGGTTCCATGGGGTGCTGAGAAGAAGGTATGTGCTTTTGTGTTTGGGTTGAATGTTCTATAGATGTGTGTTAGGCCCATTTGAGTCATAACATCTGTTAGTTCTTTTATTTCTCTGTTAACTTTCTGCCTGGCAGATCTGTCCAGTGGTGAGAGTGGGGATACTGAAGTCTCCCACTATTAATATGTGGAGCTTGCTGTGTGACTTAAGCCTTAGCAATAGTTCTTTTTACAAATGAGGGTACCCTTGTATTTAGGGCATACATGTTCAGAATTGAGACTTTATCTTGATGCATTTTTCTTTGATGAATATGAAATGACCTTCTTTATCTCTTTTGATTACTTTTAGTTTGAAGTCTATTTTGTTACATATTAGAATAACTACACCAGCTTTTTTTCCAGACCATTTGATTGGAAAATCCTTTCCCAATCCCTTACTCTGAGTTAATGTCTGTCTTTGAAGTTGAGGTGTGCTTCTTGTATGCAGAAAAAAGATGGGTTCTGTTTTCATATCCAATCTCTTAGCCCGTGTCTTTCTGTAGGCAAATTGAGTCCATTGATATTAAGGGATATAATGAACTGTGATTGCTAGTTCCTGTTATTTTTGTTTTGTTATTGTTGGTGGTATTGTGTGTGTGTGTGTGTTTCTCATCTTAGGGATATGTCATGTGGGATTATCTATTGCCTGTGTTTTTGTTGATGTATCTAACTTCCTTGGGTTGAAGTTTTTCTTCTAGTACTTTCTATAGGGCTGGATTTGAGAATAGGCATTGCTTAAATCTGGTTTTGTCATGGAATATGTTGTTTTCTCTCTCAATAGTTATTTAAAGCTTTGCTGGATATGATAGTCTTGGTTGGCTTCTGTGGTCTCTTGGTGTCTGCATAACACCTGACTATGACATTCTGCTCATTGTTTCCATTGAGAAGGGCTAAATTTTGATAGGTTTGCATTTATATGTTACTTGGCCTTTTCCTTTGCAGCTATTAATAGTCTTTCTTTATTCTGTATGTTTAGAGTTATAATTTTATGTGTTGAGGAAACTTTTTTTGGGTCCAGTCTATTTGGTGTTCTGTATGCTTCTTGTATTTTTATAGGTAAGTACTTCTTTAGGTTGAGAAAATTTTCTTCTATGATTCTGTTGAATTTATTTTCTGTGTTCCTGAACTGGACTTATTTTCCTCTTCGCTATTATCCTTAAGTTTGGTCTTTTCATGGTGTCACAGATTTCATGGATGTTTTGTGTTAAGAATTAGTTGGAACTTACATTTTTTTGACTGATGAATCTATTCGCTCTATGATAGCTTCAACTCCTGAGATTCTCTCTTCCATCTCTCATATTCTGTTGTTTATGATTGCATCTGTAGTTTCTTATCATTTACCCAGATTTTTCATTTCCAGAGTTCTCTTGGTTTGGGTTTTCTTTATTGCCTTTTTTTCAACTTTTAAGTCTTGTACTGTTGCCATCACCTGTTTGACTGCTTTTTGGGGGGTTTACTTTAAGTATTTATTAATCTCTTCCAATTTTTAGTTTATCTTTTCTTCCATTTCTGTAAGGGACTTTTTCATTTCTGCTTTCAATACCTCAGTCAACTCCATAAAGTTATTTTTAGTGTCGTTTTCTTCTACTGCATCTGAGTTGGGATGTTCTGGTTTTCTTACTGTAGAACCACCAGTTTCTAGTGATGCTTTATGGCTCTTTCTTTTTTTATTTTTTATTTTATTTTTTTTATTATTTATTTATTAAAAATTTCTGTCTCCTCCCGCTACCCATTTCCCTCCTCCTCCCCCATTCAACTCCCCCTCTTGTCAGCCCAAAGGGCAGTCAGGGTTTCCTGCCCTGTTGAGAGTCCAAGGTGTATGGCTCTTTCTGTTGTTTATGTATTTTTCCCTTGTTGTCTACCCATTTCATTCTCTAATCAGTATGTGTGGAGTCGGTGTTTCATTTGGTGATGTTGGGGCTGTGGCTCCCTTGAATACTCATTTAGGTATAGGCAGGGCTGATTCTCTAGTGATCACTCCTCCAGATTCAGATGGGCCCAAGGTTCAGATGGTATCTCCTCTTGATGCAACTGGTGCCATGGTTCTGGTGGTCACTCCGCCAAGTGCACATGGTATCCTGTCTCTGCTGATTGCTGCTCTTGGTGACATTGTGACTGAAACTAAGGCTCTGGTCATTGCATAGCTTCTGGAAGCCTCTGTTGTCACCATGGGCCATGGTGGGTATTGATGCTGTCTCCTGGCATGGCAGGCTTTGAAACTACCCACTTGTTTTAAACAAGAAATTTGTTCTCTTATTTAGCAGTAATCATCAACATGTTATAGATTAAAATTACTCATGGAATTAAACATAATTCCAGGCTTTAGAGTGTAATTCAAATTTAATGGTAGAATGTTCAACCTAGTATTAATGAGGTCCTAATTTTGATACTTAACACTGATGGAGAAAACATAACAAATAACTAGGACCCCAATCACATCAATTTCAGTTCACTAAGTCTGGACTGTATCCAAGGGCTAAATGCTTAAACATTGTGGGAGGTTCTAATGGACAGTCATCTTGTGAGATCTCTGCCTCCTAAGCAGTGGTCCATGGACCAGAAACCTCAGCATCTGCCTCAGTCATCCAGATTCCAGAGATGAGAACCCAATGTTTTATCTACATCAGAGGAACAAAAGAAGTGTGGTTGTATCTAAATCTGGTGCCTTCAGGATCAGAAGAAGGCATGGGAAGTCCTGGAACTAAAGTTACAGATGGATGGGAGCTACAATGTGAATGCTGGGAATAAACCAGGGTCTTTTGGAAGAGCCATTTTTCCAGCCCTTAGATTTTTAAAAATTACATTTTATTTATGCATGTGTATAGACACTCTTGCGACACTCAGGTAGAGAGCAAAGGACAAATTGTGGAACCTGTCTTCTTCTTCCATCATATGGTTGTTGGTGATGAACTCTGGTCATCAGGTTTGGCAGCAAGTACAGTTAGTTCCTGAGCCATATTGTTAGTCCATTGTTTTACTATTTTTAAGAGGTGTTCCCATCTCAGTCTCAAATGTTAATTGGAGAACTGGCTTTTTATATTGTGCAATATTTTAAATTATCAACCACAACAAAAACATATTTTAGAATCCATTTTTATTTTCATCAGTGAATTTAAGAACTATAATATGGCAGAGATGAACAATTAATAATTTGTAGTTAATGGCCTCTGACATCATGGCAGAAGATCATGGAGCAGTTACGTTTTTCTTTGTTCACTCGGGGCTTGTTTGGTTTTCCCCCTGAAAGCAGAATACATCATTTATTTGATGGCTCCCAATGTTTGTTCCCATCTCTATCTCAAGTATTTTGAAGCTCAAAGCAGCCCTGGTCTCTTATGCTTGTGAAATCACAACTATATAAGCACCACAGAATAAATCAAATTTGATCAAATAAAAATTGGTCAATTCTGAAACTTACAAGGGCACAGATATGGAAAACAAACAATTTGTAGACAATAGTTTGAGACATCAGAGCAGGAGATCTTGGGATAATTACCTGTCCCTTTGTCCTAGGTGAGTCTGGTAGAATTCCTCCGTGAAAGACAGAGAGTTAATGATGGGAGGGTCTTTGCTTTTAGTTTGTGATTGAGGTATTTCTCACCATCTTCTAGATATTTCTGTCTGTCTGTAACCTTGTTAAATACAAGCTGTCTTCATGGATATTACTCCTCATGTGCCCCACAGTGAGTCAAGGAAACATTTAGATCCAGTTTTCCTGTCCTGGTGATTTTTACAGTGAGCTCAGACAAGGGATGCCACTTGATCGTCCAAAATTTTAGACATTCTGAGGGCTTGTTTCTCACACTCTTCTTTCCCTGCAAAGAAAGCTGAATTCTACACTTGTCCAGAACTGTCCTCCTCCATGACCCAGCTCAGGGAAGACTGATCCATGACACGGTTTTTGTCCTAAACCTCGAAATAGCCATACCACCCCTTGGCTTGAGCATCATTTTCTGCAGTCTCCTCTCCCTGACAGCAGTAACTGCAGATAGGGTATGAAGTTGAAGCCTTGCCCTGGCCAGGGGCTCACACCTGTACTCCCCATGGCTTCAGATTCAGTTCACCCAATACTTGATGAGCAAACTTTTATTGTGAGGATGACACAGGGATAGGCCATCTGAGATATGTGCCAGAAACATCTGTGTACCCTACATCGAAGGAAATTGGTCCACCAACCAAGGAAATCTGGTTTTCCCAATTACAGCGTTGGTAAAAATGAAGAACAAAGAACTTATTTCAAAATCATTTCCCTTCTTTTACTTTTATTTTTCGGTAGATGGAGTTGAGGCAGGCCTTACTCTGTAACCTGTCCTGGAACTCACTACAGAGTGTAAGCCATCCTTGAGCTTGGAGCAATCTCCCTGCCTCAGTCTCCCAAGTGCTGGGATTACAGGTCTGACCCACAGTACTCAGCTGTTCAAGAACAAGCAGGAGACGACAACCTGGAAGAAGAACTGCTGGAACATTCTGTAACTGTACAGCAGCATCCACATGGGCGCATTATTTTCAGCTATGCAATCATATATTGTTTTTATCACTGGCACTCAATTATATTTAAATTTAATTTCAATTATATTTAAATATAAGTTTAATTATATCCATGCTACCAAATTTTCTGCAACTAGTTAATGTTAAAGGTTAAAGGCTTTTCTCCTACCATCCAAAAAATGGAAGTTATTAAGAGGATTAAGCTATAACACAAGACAGCCTAGGTAACACCCGTGTCTGGCAAGTTGGCAACAACCCATGCCATGGAACCTGTCTAGGAAAATTAATTATGATATTGTTTACGCAGTCATTCTGCTAACATCTGGACACGTGAATTATACCTTGATTGAAGTTACCAGAAGAGCTTCTAACCTGTTGTCTCACCCCAGAATAATTGAAGCTGTCTGTCACATAGAAGCTTTTAATTCACCATCTTACCCAGGAGCCATGGAAGTTCCAGAATACCTTTATTAAGGATCCCAGGGTCCATCCTCGACAACATATGCTTTGCCTCCAGTTCTTGGATCTTTCACGGTTTCCTCTGATTTCAAACTCCCTGAGAGTGAGCCACTCTCCATTCTCAGTGCATATACTCTTCTCATGGGTGCCTGTAAGACCAAGACCAACTGAGCAGCCAGCTATGAAAACACCTGCACTTGGCCCATTATATCCTGGTCTGGGACTGAGGTTTAGTCTCAGGAGGATGTGCATTTCCTTCTCAGTCATCAGGGGCCACACACCCATCCTGATAGGCAAAGACAGAGAATGACTACCACTGATGTTATCCTTTATGCTTTTCCTAAAACGAATTCATCTATTTTATGTGTATTTGTGTTTTGTCTGTAAGGGTGTCTGGGTACATCGTCTGTTCTTATTGCCCACAGAAGCCAGAAAATGGCATTGAATCTTCTGGAACTGTAGTAATAGATGGTTGTGAGCCAAGTGTGTTTGCTGGGAATTGAATCTGGGTCCTCTGGAACCAGTCAGTTAAACAGTCAGTGTGCTTAATCACAAAGTGCTCTCTCCAGCCTTTGACATTACCTTTAAAAGCATTCTACTGTAATGTTAAAAGATTATCAAAAGGAATGACTCCAAAACGTGACCAGGATTCTTACTCTTTCTTTAACTGTGACCCAGTGTAGGTCCAACTTGCATTTCAGAAAGGTGAGTGAGTGCAGAAAATTCCATGCTGGACTCTTGTGAATCCAGCAACGAGGAAGCTGTCACTACAGCTACTTCTATAGCATTATATTTCCAGGTTATGACAATTGGTTATCCCTCATATTTTAGACTCATGACTAGTTGATGTTAAAAGTGATTCAGGAAATGTTGTCTACATGGAACAGTTAAATTGCATGTAGGCAGTAGAATCACGGGGAAAACACTTATTTGTTGCTAACAAAGAACTACTTTGGTGCTAGGGAAACGGTTCAGTGGTGAAGGGCACTGCTGCCCTTGTAGAAGACCCAGGTTCAGTTCTCAGAACCCACATGGGGTTCACATCCATAACTCCAGATCTGATGTCATCTTCTGGTCTCCATGGCCACCAGGCACACTCAGTGCATAGACATATGCAGCCCAACACTCATACCAGAAAATAAAAGTAAATCTTAAAGAACTGTGCTGTTTCCACCATGATAGAGGACCAGTGGCACTGTACCCTAACAATCACAATTTCCACAGCATTTCATTTTCATTATCTTTTTAATCATAACAATATGGTGAGAGAAGTTTTATTCTCATTTCAAAGTAGAGGAGGTTTAGTATTAGGGAGCCTGATACAGATGACAGAGAAACTGACCTGTAGTTGAGCTATGGTTTGAAAGTCTCCCCCTAGGGGTCATATATTGAAATCCTGGTCCTTGACAAGGTGATATGTGAGGTGACACTAGATCATGGAGGGTGCTGCCTGTGGGAGGGATTAACATAGTTCTCATGGGACCCCAGCCACGGTCTGGCTTCCTGTCTTATGGTGTGATCTCTTCCTCCTCCATGTCATACCCCTGCCATAATACCATCTGCCCTCAGTCTCTCTCCAAAGGCCAATATATGAGGCTGCCTGATCTTGGCCTTTTAGCCTCTAAATCTGTAAGCTAAATAGAGCAGCCTGACTGAATATTTCAGTAGAGCAAAGAATAATGGACTAATACACCAAGAGAGCTGAGGTTAGAGTGTATCCAAATTCCAATCCAAATCCTCTGTGTTTTCTTACTCAGCTTAAAGTTAGACAGAGGTTACAGCTAACTGACCCACAAAAGTTGATGCTGACTCTCTCAGACAAATATACTTCCCATCCTGGTGTGTTAGGGCTTACTCTGGTCTGAGATGCTAAACAGGTTTCTTATTGGTTTTTTTCACAGGGGGAAGGGAGGTAGCCTGATAGGCCAGGGACATATGACATTTAAACTTGCAAAATTGCACCTTAGGGTACAGCTCAGTGAGAGAGCATCTGCCTCACATGTACAAGGCCCTGAGTTTAATCTCAGTACTACAAGAAGGAGGAAAAAAAAAGAAAAAATATGAAAAATGTCCCCATTCCTGCTCCTCTCTGGGGTTTGGTGCAGAAAAGAATGAACACAGCAGCCTGCGACTCTCTTGAGAAATGCTGCCTGGCACAGTGGAATTTTGGGTGGAGTCTGCGAATAAGGCTTTGCGTAGAGCGCTTCTGTCACTCACAGAAACACAGAATGAATCGCCATGAACAACCATTTACAAAGAGTTCACTTCACACTTGAGACCTGCTATACTTTTGTGGGTATCTGTATTTTGTGTGCGCTATGCAGATAGGTTCCTGCATAACTCATAACCCTTGCCCTGGGCTTGGGCAGCTCCTTGGAAGAAAGCCTTTCACACTTTCATTGCTGGGGTGGTTGATTGCACCCTGTGTTTCCCCAAAAGGAGAGCAATGTCAAGAGTTTCTGGCTTCTCTGGACTTGGCCTCTCACGCCCTCTTCTCCTAGGATACTTGACCTCAAACCCTCACTCACTTCAGTAACGGGCGTGACATTGCCAATATCCCGAGTTCCACAAACTGACTCTGGGATGATACACCGCCAACACAGATGCCCACCCCCTACAAGGTGCTATTGTCTAGATGAAGAGCACAGAAGTTCTGAAACTCACCTTGCGGAAGTTTCTCCACATACAGAGTCCCCTGAGCATCACCACAGGTCACCGGAAGGTCAGGACGTCTAAAATCCTCAATGTTCAATATGGGTTGTCTTGGACCTGCGCAGACACATTTCACTTTATTCTAGACCTGTGCATGGCTTTTCCTCCACCCACTTTGGTATCTTGTTTCTGCAACTAAAATGCACTGGGTTTTCCCATGAATTAGTTATACACAAAGATATTTCTGTTCTGAATGATTAGATTCTTATAGCTAACAACCTGCTCTGTTCCCAACCTCTGAACTGCATAGTGGCTGGAGCCTCGCTGCCAGAATCCCAGCTCTCAGACTTGTTGATCCCAGCAGCCCCTGTGTTGTGGGAACTCCTTCAGCCAATAGACTTTAAGATACTGGCCCACTCTGGGCGTGGTCTCATGTACTTTAACTGCATTAAATCATATGTGACCCTTTTTTCTGCTGGATTCGGTTCCAGTTCCCAGTGCTCACAGAGGACTGTGGATCACTACCCTTACTGTGAGTTTATCCCCAAATAAATAAACCTTTGTTAATACTCCTTTCAGGGCTATTGTGGAACTCTTTGGTACTACTACAGTTTGGCGACAATGTGGCCTGAATCCACAACATTGCCTGTCCCTGCTCAGACCCGCTAGGGCCTCCTCCCACCCCATGGAGCTGAACTAACCCTCTGTAGCTGAATTATCGAGCTGGCTCAGCTGAACGAGGAATGGGGTGGCTGATCCACAGTAGGGACTTGGTAATTTCTAGCCCTCCTACCCCTGTGTGGCTCAGTCCTGCCAGCTAAGTGGCTGAGTAACTGATGCCTGCAGATTCCTGCGGCAACACCTCCGTGGCTTCTCTTACCCCTGTGGCTCATTGTTGCTTCCCAAGCTAAAATCTGCTTCTGAGGTCCCGCTGCTGTCTGGCCTGCTCTGATCAGGCTGAGCTCTATCCCTGCACCTAGAACACAGGCTTGCATTCCCAGAATGGATCCATGAGAACCACTGGCCCAAAATCCACCCGTAACTTCACAGTTGGCAATTACCTGCAAGCTCTGAGTCTTTTGACTCAATTGTCTCCATATGAAGGTGTGCCGCTTTTAAAAATTTTTGGTCTCATAGGTCCCTGATCTAGACCTGCCTTACTGCCACAATTGTGACACCTGCTGGACAATCCGCAGTATTACACCTACAAAAGTTTTCTGAAAATTATAAGGGAGGTAAGTTAATTTGATACCTAAGTATCAGATTGATAGGTAAGTAAGTAAGTAAATAAATAAATTATCCCAAGACAATTGTAGACAATATCATCACCCATGAATATCATAATATTTTTGTTTCTGCTATGACTGGATTGCTGCAAGAGCTGTATGACCTACCTGATACATATATTTTTGTGGCAATGGTGGCTGTTAGTTTTATTCTTCATACTATATCCTTAGAGAAATGGTTTCATAAGAGAGTGAGGAATGAGAGACTTTTAGAAATGATACAATCTTTACAGACTCGTAATGAGAAGTTATCTGAAAAGATTCAAACTTTTGAATTTGACAATTAAAAACTGTTAAAAAAAAAAGTCTGATAAGCCAGGAGACAGAACATCCCACCAGGAAGGCAGTCTACATGCTATCCAAGTAATATATATGGATAAGAAGATATGATAAGTGAAAAATTAAAACCTTGGAATAACATGTGTAGAATGAGAACCAGAAATTAATTGATTTGATGAAGTCATTAAAAATATATCTGTTTTGTCTTTATCATACCTTTCATTGAATATGTATGTCTGCATATGTCTATAGATCATGCTTAAGCTTTCCATAGTGAACAATAAATTTCCCTGCAGTAATCTTTGAAGTTTCCAGGAAGAAAATGGGGCCCCACAACAACAACTCCACATGGTTTATATGACGTCATGATGCTGATAGCACTATTACAAGACCTGTTTTGGATACCAGCTGCACGGGATGGTTCTGACATGGTTAGCTGAAATGGTGCACATCTTTTACAACATCCTTGCCGGACCTCCACAAAAAATACTCAGAGACTATTTGCAATTTTACCAGACCAAATAGTAATTTTGGAATTTAACCATTGTTAAAATTCCACAGGATCCCCTAGGAAGAATGTTGTCCCCATGACAACTGGAAGCAAAGAGGATAACGTTCCCTCTCCCAACAAAGTTTGCCCTCAGGTTTAGGGACATCATTTAGGGGTTGGTTATAATTGGTATATGGTTGAGGGATGGGGGAGGAATTTTTTTTTCTAAAGGAAATCTTTTTATTTTATTTTTAATTGAGCAAGGCATGACGGTACTGCTGGGAGAAGAGTGGAACCAGGCGACAGCTGTTCAGATGTGCAGAACCTGTCTGCAGCAGCTGCCCTACTGTCGCCTGGAGCTGACACGCTGGAGCTAGAGCACCCTCCCCAAGGGATGGGACACTACAGGGAAGGAGGGGAGTACAAGTAAGGAGCAGTCTCCATCACCCTTAGGCAGCCTTGCAGTTGGATTTTGTCAGGGAGTGTGTGCCTTCCCAAGGCACGGTGTAGATCTGGAAGGAGCAGAGGGTCTTCCTCATCAGATGGGGCTGGTNGGGCATCGGGGGGACACTCACCTGCTTACGGGCTCTCAACACCTGCATGGCGCGGCTGTGGTACGCGTCGTTGCTGCCCTTGTTGTACTCGCTGATGGCGAAGTCCACCGCTCGCTGCACGCCCTCTTCGTTGACATTGGCCTCCTGCAGGCCTCCCAACAGGCGCGGACTTTGCTTGGGGGTCGCGGCCGAAGCCAAGGCCAGGACTGCCATCAGGATCAGGGGGGCGCGTAACGGGTTGGCCATGGTTGGCTGGGACACGGGATGGTACTCCAACTAGACTCAGAGTTGCGGCTGAACTGAAGCTACTAACAGCGCGCAGCTTTTACCCAATTGACCTGGGGGAGGAATTTTATAGGCTCAGGGATCTTCTTGAAAGAAAAAGAGGGATAATTGGATGATGGGGTAATAGATTGGTATTTGTTAGTTATTGTTTTTAGACAATGATATTGGTGTCAATTCTTGTATATTGATACAAAGTTAAGTTATATTGAATATCGTATGTGTGTATGCTTCTACCTCTGTTCGAAACATTGTTTTTATGTATTGACATATATAACAATATATAAATAAATAAAACAATATTTACCATATTGCAGTGTACACCACTACCTCTGATCAAGATACTTATACATTGTTTACATTCAAAGGCCATTGTTCTTATTTATTGCACAGCTGTTTATTGTCTTAGTCTTTAAGTTAGATAGGTATTGAGAATTATAGATCAATAGTCATCTATGTTTGTCATATTTATATTTAGGCTAATCAGGTTCTTTAGATACACAGAGATTATATTCAGTATAGATAGTATAATCTTCAACCTCTTCAAAGAGCTGTAGAAAATGGCCTCTAATCTAACCTAGAGTTCTGTGGTAGTGAGAGACAATCACTCCTGGCAACACCGATCTACTCCAGAGAGAATGTTGAGCATCAAAGACACACCACCTGGAGCCTTTCTTCTTTGCAGAACTGGCCTTTGGGCAAAGAAATGCCCATACCTCAACCACTGACAGAGATACAGAGTATCCGTAAATGGACAAAACAGGACTGTCATATCCTGCCAAAACAGGGTAAGATAGTTTTGCACAGCCTCTTGCCTTTGAAAATGGTATGTCAGTTATGCTAGGTCTTAGCCAAAGTTGGCTGCTTCAACATTGCAAATGAGACTTTGGGTAATTGCCCAGGTAGTCAGTTGTCTCTGTCATTTGTTGCACAGTTTGGAAGTTTCTTGATTGCACTTCCTGTTTACTCAAGTAATATTGCTTCCCTTCTCAGATCTTTGATGGAGTTGAAGATTAGATAATTGTAGTTATCTTCCTTATGATTTAGCCAAACTTAATTTCAATACATTTAGACTCCTTGAAATAGAATGTTTAGTAAAACTTTTGTCATGTGTTCCTTGCTTAATATTGTTTATTGTTTGTAATTATATATTTGGTATCTGTTCTGTTGTATATAGCTGTATTGTGTTTGGATCAATCTTGTTTAGACAAAAGGGGGAGATGATGGGGAAACTATCAACTGATAGTTTTGACCATTCACATATAGTTTGGGTGTGGACACCTAGGGTCCAGGTAGAAAAACCTGGGGATGTAGATGCGCGCTCTCTCTCTCTATGCGGTGCTCGCCAGACCATTTTGGATTTTGGACCTCCCACTCTTGTAGCATGAGTTCCTTCTTTTTTCAATTATTAAAATATAACTGTTGTTCTTGAGCTGGTCTGGTTATTTATTGTACCGACTGAATATGTCAGCACAAAAGACAGTGATAAAAAGATTTGAATCAATCAAGGACCTTGTCAGAACTGATAAACAAGGAGAGGAAGTACAGGTAAAGGACAATAGTAAAGATTTAGCATCAGCAGTAGCTCTCAGAGTCAGAGATGACTTACCAAGAGTTTTAGCTACTTATTCTGTTACTACCTCTAAAAAGCCAAAAGTATATACAGAATGTAAATCAGAACCATATATATATATATATGAAAAATCTAAAAGATATTAAGCAAGCAGTAGTACCTTATGGCATGTATTCACCATATGTGAGGGAGTTGATAATGACATAGGCTTCAAGAAATAAGGTTACTCAAAATGATTGGCTTCAATCAGTCTCAGCCATGCTAGAAGATGGACTGTAGTTACAGTGGAAATACTATTGGAGAGAGGAGACTAAAGCCCTGGAACATCAAGGTAGAGCCAGAGGAATTGACACCTCTCAAGATGAAATTCTTGGTGAGGGCTGTTACACTGATTCAGATAGTCAACCTATATACAATAAACACATCTTGTTCTTGTGCCTTACAATGTTCTTGTTCTTGCAGCCTTGAATACTTGGGACAAGATTCAAGAACTAGGAATAAGAATTAATAGATATGAGGTCATGCAAGGCTCAAGATAATCATTTAGTGACTTTTTAAAAAGATTAACTAACTGTACAAATAGGGGTATCAGATCCAGAAGCTAGACAAGTGCTTACTGAATCTCTGGCTTTTTAAAATGACAACTTAAAATGCAAAATGATACTTGGACCAAAAAGGTCATAACAGCACCAATGGATGAATGGATCCTGCACACAGTCAATATTGAGTCACTTGACTATAAGACTGAGGCTTGACTGAGGCTTGGGTAGGAGAAGCAATTTCCAAAGGTATGAAAAGTCATCAAAATATCAAATATTTTTATTGTGGTAGAATGAGCCATCTGTGAAGGGATTGTAGACAGGGAATTCCTATAAATAATGTTTCTTCTGGAAATAACAAAAACAAAAGGTCTCAATCTTTTGGATTTTGTAGACAATGAGACAAAGCCCAACATTGGGTCAATAAATGTAGATAAATAAGAGACAAACAAGGTAAGTCACTACTGGGAAACTCCTTAGGGGGTTTCTCACAGGCCCCAGTTCAAATGTGGTTCAGTCATTCTCAGTCACTGTGGGGCACATGCCTCCCCAGGAAAATGGAAAAATCCAGTACCTGCTGTAAAAAAAAACCATATTGCTATTGATGATAGAAGAATCATGGAGGATGAATCAAAAGTTCCAGTAGAATATTGGCAATGTATATTTTAGCAGACTTCTATAAATGACATCAAAGACCAAACCTGAGAGTATGAATAAATAACACTACAATTGAAGGATTTTTGAATACAAGTCAAGATGAGACTATTATGACTTCAGAATGTTGACATCTGAATTGGCCTCTTCAAGAGGCAGATTTCAATTCCTAGGAATTGGAACCCTACCTCAAGTAAAAGAATGCATGCGATGGATTGAATGCATAGGGCCAGAAGGACAAAGAGGAAGGTTGAGGCCATATGAGGCTAATATAGTGGTGAATCTATGGGATTGTGATCTGTTACAGCAAAGGAATACCCAGAGTAACGTTTCTGTGGTGTCAAAAATGGGCCATAAATCAACTCATGCTTCTGGGAAGGATATTATAAGGTACTATGAAAAAGAGTCACCAACCATTCAGGCTGTACAAAACACAGAAGAACAACTAGCAAACTCTCAGAGTTGCCAATGTCCCTACCTTTAAAATGGTTAAGTAAGAAACCTATGTGAGTTAAACAATGGTTTTTAACAATAGAGAGACTGCAGGCCTTAGAACAGCTGATATAGGAACAACTAGATTCTCACCATATTTAAGAATCAACCCAGCCCTAGGAATTCTCCTCTATTTCTTGTTAAAAAAATCTGGAAAATAGAGAATGGTGGCAGATCTAAGAGCTGTTAATAAGGTGATTCAACCAATGTGCCTTCTACAATTTGGAATTTCTTTGCCTTCCCTGTTGCCTAAAGTATGGCCTCTTATAGTTATTGATTTAAAATATTGTTTCTTTACTATACACTTGCTAGGAAAAGACAGAATGATTTGCCTTCACAGTGCCTACCTATAATTCTATGCCTACTAAGAGATACCAATGGAGGATTCTCCCACAGGGAATGTTAAATAGCCTCACCCTGTGACAATATTGTGCAAGTCAGCCATTGGAAATAATAACTAAGCAATTTCCTGAATCCATAGTTTACTATCACATGGACAACATTTTGCTATCTGATTCAAATATAGATACTTTACAAAGAATGTTTGAAGAAGTAAAGAAAGTTTTGCCTAAATGGGGATTACAAATTCCTCCTGAAAAAATACAAAGAGGAGATTCTATCAATTTTCTAGGTTATAAAATAGGTTTACAGAAAATTAAAACACCAAAAACACAAATTAGGACAGAGCAATTGCAGACTCTTAATGACTTCCAAAGAGTGCTAGGAAACATTTCAATCTGTGGCCTACTTCTGGGTTAAAACCTGATAAAAATAATTCATCTAAACAAAACCTTAGATAGTGAAAAAGACTTAAATAGTTTCAGGGAATTATCATCTTAAGGCAAGAAAGAATTGACTTTGATTTAAGGGAAATTACAGGAAGCACATATGGATAATGTGGACCTGAATCTTAATTTTTTTTCTGGCTGTATCACCCCCCAAATATTCCCCTATAGGAATTTTAATGTGGAGGGAAGATATTATCTTATAATGGATCTTTTTACCACATAAACCAAGTAAAAAGTAAAAACCTTATGTAGAAAATGTCTCTTAATTAGATACAAAAGGCTAGTTAAGACTTCATCAATTAGCAAGAATAGATCCAGAAGAAATTGTACTACCTTTTACTACTACTGAAATTTAAAAATTATGGGAATAAAAAAGGAACTGTGACAAAGAGCTTGTAGTAAATTTTTGGGAGAGATTAACAACTACCCTGAAAGTGAGAGAATTCAACTTATAAAGAGAACTAATTGGATCCCTCCTCACATTGTATGGGACAGAGCAAAAACTGGAGTTCTTTCTTCCTATACTGATGCAAATATATCAGGAAAGGCAGGTTAGAAATCAAAAAAATTGAGTAAGGTGGAGCAAAGTTCTTATGACTCCATCCAAAAGTCAGATTTACATGCTAGTCTCATAGTACAAAGGGATTTTAAAGAATCTGTCAACATAGTTAACAATTTGT